GCAGAGTACTATGAGTGCGTAGTTAGGCTAGGCGTGCGTAGTAATCACGGGCCGAGACGGGTGGTCCGGTAAAGTACAATCCAGCCCCGTGAATAACAATTGCGGGGTGGGAACTACCGAAAAAGCGCCAAAATTCCTTCTGTCTATTGGTTGGACCCCGTTCATTTTGTTTTAATAGGGGGGTTGGACTATACCATCTTTTGTAAAATAAGGGGAGCCATACTAAGTGTTCCGTTCCGTTCTTGCACTCGTGACTCGTTACGCAGCAGTAGGTTTTACAAGCCTCAAGGTGGTGACAGCAACAGGGGAGTGAATCGGGAATCGTTTGGCGAATGGCGATACTGTTCCGTGTTCCGCTGAAGTGAATCGTGAATCGCGTTCCGCAGGCAAGAGTGGCGATTCAGTTTCATTCTCGCGCTCGCGACCCAGCTCTAGTGTGTGAGACATGCCCCAGCTGACAGGGGTAGGAGGGAACAAGAGAAAAATAGAGTGGGAAAGTAGGTGATGGAGAAAGAAAGACAGAGACAAACAAAGAGAAAGAGAAGGCGAGGGATACACAGAGGAGAGAGAGAAAGAGAGAGGGAGAGAGAGAGAGAGAGAGAGAGAGAGGGTGACTGCTCGTCAATTGAAATATATATATGACGTTGTTCTTTTCTTCAAATTGTTATATATATATTTATTGATTCCCCCAACTCCAAAACGGTGGAGGAACAATCGTTCATCGAAAAGACATACCACAATCTTCATTTAGATCTAGGCCTCGAAACTAGACCTAGGCCATTGACTTAGAAGAACCTAGGTCTACCTCATAGAATCTCCTTTTTAAACCTAATAGTGTAAACCTCTATGGTCTACCCTGAGCCAAGAGGGCTCTGAAACTTTCCGAAATCACAAAAGATTTCCCTTACCGGGTCTGTATACTTTGTGATTATGTTCCCAGTTTCCGGGTCTGTATACATTCCTATTATTTTTTTCCAGTCTTTGACATGATGGTCTTGGATGTCTTCTTGGACACATACTGCTCAGACTATGTTGGTGGTTGTAACCATCTGTTATCCTTGATTTCTTTGTCTCTGCCGTTCGTCTTTCAGTATTATCATTACTGAGAAGATATTTTGTGCAGTTATGATTGATGATATAAACACAAGATAAGGCAATTTGACAGTGTTGGATACATGAAGCTATGTACAGCGAGCACCTAGCACACATTCTCTGTGATTGGCCCAAATATAGTTCTAGATTAGATGACGTATTTTCGCCATCTATTTTTGTCGTCTTCCGGGGTTTCCCCTGAGATTCTTGGGTTCCCTCGCCAGTCCAGTTGACTAGATCTTGCCGTTTTTGTTTTTTGTATTCATTTGACATGCAACTAAACTTACAATGACGCGAACTATTATTAGATGAGGCGGCCATCTTGTATGACGTCAGACCGGGATACCCCTCCGATCACATGACTACATCAAAATACAGTTGAACCTGTGTAAGACGGAATCGCAAGGGAGCCAGAAAAAAATTCCGTCTTTGACATTTTCCGTCTTAGACAGGGAAATTTAGGAGGAGATGAGGGGGGGGGGGGGGATGTCAAAAGTTCACACCTCAACTGCTATCCTGTCTGATAATGACATGCGCCAGTCTTACTTATCCAATTACCTCCAGTGCTTGCCTTTCATAGGACCACTGTTTGTGACCTATTAAGAACAGAAACGTTTGAACATTTCCTTTGCTTCCACCCTTAGCCCCACTCATCGGTGTAACAAGCACAGTCAACCAATGCAATGCCACCCCTCATTGCCATCATGTAACAACGATTCGAAGAACTCTTTTCTTGGCTGGTGTACGATCAGGGCGACAGGCATTGGTCAAACTAATTTCACACCTCTGGCTTCTGGCTTCTGGCTACCCACGAAAGTTTCCGCAGTGGCTCGCTACTCGAGCACTCTCATGGGCACTCGTGAGATTTCACTCCCACACCACCCTGACCATCTGCATCGCTCAGGGCTCACATGATGGGGTAACATCTACCCCCAAATTGCACCCGTACTCCCCTTCCTCGCCCAGGGGCATGGCCATGGCGTTAAGTTTAGAGCCGACGGAACCAAACTTGCTAGTTTTGTTTGAAATCAGGGCTGAGCGGGGAAAGCATTTTCCGTCTTAGACAGGTGAAATCCTCGGAAGAGAGCGGATTTTCCTTTTTGTTTCCACGTTGGACAGGTTCCCGTTTTATACAGGTAATTAAAGAGGAATATATCAAGGGGGGGAGCGGGGAGATTCCGTTAAGACAGGTTTCCGTTTTATACAGGTTTCCGTTAAGGCAGGTTTGACTGTATAGGTAACCGGTAATCTTCCGGCGTTTTTAAGGAAATTTTTTTCACTCTTTATTGTCTTTGCCGTGTTTCAATTTCAAGCATCACTACCGGAATTCTGATGTTATTAACATACACCAGAAACCTTGTAACCAATCAGTTGAGCTTGGCTGATGGGCTGCAGTTAGCCGCAAGTGTGAATTTTTACTGTGCGAAACGCATCGATACGGATAATACATCAAGCCACTGACCCAACATGTCATTCCGTGCGGTACCTCCCAAGATTCTCTACTGTATCTTGTATACACGTTCTTTGGTACCTCCACCGCCTTATAAAAATAGTCTGTGAGTATCCCAGGAAGTGGTGACATCACGTTACTAAAATTAGCAGCCAATCAGGAAGATGCGCCATTCTACGTTTAGTCGCATATTAATTTGTGTTATAAATCTTTATTAACAATTTCAGCAATTCTCGTTCCATAAATTTACCTTCTCCTCAAAGTTGTACACACACGCACAAGCGTGCGCACACACACACAGGCCCACACACACTCGCGTGCACACACCCAGGGCCCGCCACAGTGAGATCTAGCCAACTGGTGAGGGAAGCCCCGGAAGACGACTAAAATAGATGGGGGACATACGTCATCTATACTTGGGCCAATCACAGAGGTGTGCTAGGTGTAGCTTCATGTCTATTGGACCCATCTCACATCCCGTTTTATTTATAAAATAGTGATTTTCTTATCATAGCCTTATGTTTTTGGTGTGATATTAAGGAATTTGACAAGCAACTCTTGCTCTGCGTCTTGTGCTGAGATGCAAATCTTATCAGCACCCTGTTACGTCGGACGTCCCGGGCGGGCCGCCGGGGTCACTCAGCGTTTACTGTTGGTGAACAGCGAGTGGCACTGAAAATACATGTATGTTTTCGCCGTGAATACCGAGGGAACCAGTGAACTCGTCACACAGTGAAGTTGACACAGCTGAAAAACGCGTTACGAGTTCACCGAGAAAAAGTATCCAAATAACAGTAAACTCGTCAACCCCTCCCTTGTAAACAATGGTCAGCAACGTTAGGCGTTGGTGGGCAAGATATTTTTATTGCATACAGTAAGGACATGTTGCACATTTTTAACAGGTTTTAGATCTAATATTGCACCCCAAAATTGTACATTTCTCTTTAACATGTTGAAACATAAAGTTTGCCATGTGTAGATTTTGATTGAATATAAGCTCTGGTTTTGTATTTTAAAAATATTATTAAAACTAAAGGTTGACATGTGTGGGTTTGCCTGCCGATGTGAACTCGCCACACGTTTTTCACAAGTTCGGGTATGTGATTAGATAACTGTGACGAGATCACCGGAGGTATGTGACGACTTCACTGTGTGACGAGTTAACTGGAAGCCAGTACCGACGGGGTGTGTTCATCGATGATGAAAAAAACGCTCTTAGCTTTCTATTTATAAAATGTTACGAACACATGATGAATAAACCTATCTCATAAGCTGATAAGACATTAAGAGTAGTTACGCCAATTCGAATAACCTTTTTTGACGCTGTTATTGTTTTGAATGATCTGGGGTTTGAAAGGGAGTAATATACGTTAATTTCCTAATGTTTTGCTCTCAAATTGTTCTTTTAACCTGCACAATAATTCAAAACTATCAAATAAGCTTATTTTTATCAGGTAATATCATTTTATATAAAATCAAGCTCATTTGAAAAAACGGAAGTCTTGTTTCCTCGCTATCCTTTCAAACACCTCAATGTCTGAATGGGTCAATTTGTTTTAATTTCATTGGACGAACATCTAAAGCTACCAACTTGGTGTGTTTTGAATGAGACGTAGGACTATGCCTCGGTTGTGAACCAACACAGACGGTTCTGGAAGTAGGCCACAAACGCACACAGACTCAAGCAGACTGATGCATACACACTTGAGCTGCGGAAATACTGGACCCGCTCATGACGCGGATGGTGCTCGATGCGCTTGCGCTGAGCCCAGGCCGAACTGACATTGGACCGGAACGAAGGCATGGAAACATAAACTTGACTCCTGCAGGACCAGGGTTAAAATCACCACAAATCAACCTAAATTTGAGAAAATAGAGGCTATAACCTCTTATTGTGAACCTGTATATTTCTAAAACTTTTAAAGGCAAAAAAATCGCCCTGAAAACCCCTTTTTCTCTTACAACTAGCGCTGCACCTCGTCTGATCTGTCACTGTCACTGATCCAAGAAAGAACCCTTGTTGTTGGAAACTTTGAAGACACAATGTCTCCTGCAGAGGCATAAATAATTTTCCCGTGAAATGTGCACATGCTGTGTATTACACTTCGGGCACAAAACTTTCTCCCGCAAGACACCATGCAAAATAAAAAATCACAGCTTTTCTGGTTGTCTTCGCAGAATCCTAATATGGTGGAGAAATAGTTAAATGTGCACTAATCCAAGACTTTACATGACCCAGATGAGGAGCAGCGTGAAAATGACGGCAAGACTAGAAGATTTCAAACTAAAAGGCAATGTAAGCAAAGCGCAGCAGACGCAGTGAAATGCGCATGCACAATAATTAATATGCAAAATGGTCTGAAGTCGCATGCACGTGAGCAATAATTAATATTCAAAATGGTTGGATAGCGCATGTGCTTAATCTATGATGTGTAAGTTGTAACTCACCGCGCAATCACATTGCTGTTTCCTTTTGTATTAGTATGCCAAGTTCATAAAGATAAACCTTGGTTATGTCCGATCTTCCCTGGAATACAGCAATAGCCTACTCACTATGTGCAGTACAACTACTTGTAACACCCTTGACAAGGTCCAAAACAATGCCCTTCGTTTTATAAATGGCGGCATGAGATCCACACCTACCGCCGCGTGCGAAATCCTTGCAAATGTTGAACCCCTGGGAATCCGCAGAGATAAAGCAGTTTTGGAGCTACATGAAAGAACTAAAAGAATGTGCCCCAACCACCCAAACAGGAAATTAGTAGAAACATGAAAACCAAAGAAACAAATTCAACAAAAGTCAATCATGCATCACATCACAGAACTAATGGAGAGCCACCATCTACCACAAAACAGAAGAGAAACCAAAGAGTCAACCAAAACATCCCTCCCCACCTTTCTTTAAAAAAGCCAATCATTACAACATCTCTCAAAGACAAGAGTACAAAATCTTCAGACCCAGTGACGCTGATGCTTGCCTCACATCAAACAATCAACAGCTATTCAGATGACTGGATACACGTCTATACGGACGGCTCAGCATTCAAAGGCACAACCAAAGCCGGATATGGAATACTAATACAGTACCCAGATGGAAGTTCCAATGAGATCTCTGCAGCCTGTGGAGAGAAATGCAGCAACTACGATGCAGAAATGATGGCAATTGAAACAGCACTGTACCATCTCCGCACAGTTTTTGACACTCATCCTGGAAAAGCACAGAGTATTGTGATTTTCACTGACTCACTATCAGTATTACAAGCCATAAAAAATGACCATCATCTAAACCAAGATTTGACCCATACTGTTTGGATCCCATCATCTGATAACATTCTGTGGCATCAACCTAGTAATGCAGTGGGTCCCCGGACACTCAAACATACCTGGAAATGACAGACAGACACACTTGCCAAACGGGGATCTAGACAGGAACAACCCAACACTCCAACTTCATACAACACTGCAAAACAAATCATCAAAAGCAACAACAAACAAGATTGGATGAACAGATGGGCCCTGGGAAAGACAGGCAGAGCAGTTTTCAAACATATGACCACAACAAAAAGGAATGACAATATAAACCGCCTTCAGAGAAAGAAACAGACCACGATCTTCCGCCTACGAACAGAACATATACAGCTCAACTCCACCTGAACAGAATAAAACCGGAACTTCCCCCAATGTGCCCCTTGTGTGACTATGCATATGAGACTGTGGAGCATCACCTGTTCCACTGCACAGCCCTGAATGACATCAGAGCTACCCTTCTCCCTCTGAGACCTAACATAGACAACACACTCTATGGAACATTACAGCAACTGCAGCAGACCTGCACTTATCACTACATGGCATTGGACAGAAGGGCGAGAGCCCAGCTGTAGCTGGATCAATAACAACAACAACAACAACATAAAGATAAACATGCAATAGGGGTACCAATATCTCACAAACGGGACATTTGCGACTGTTTTGAATATCATATTAATTAATAACACACCCTATAACCCCTAAAAACCATAATTATAGTTAGTAAAGCAGTCAACACAAGTAGGGTCCAATGCTGCAGAAATACCGAAATAAGACATTGGAACTTCCAAATGCTTCTATTTGTTGTTTTCGTTTTTTGAAAACAATTGTAGTCAGAGGTTATGATTGCCTTTTAAACAATTTGGCTTTAAAAAGCTGTCTTCTTTTCATGATATAAATACCAAATGTCTGGTTTGTAGTTGCAAGAGGAGTGAATGATTTAAAATGATTGTGACTTTCCTAGTGCTGTGTTTGAAGTAAATTGATTTTACTGTCGCTCATTTTTTTCATCACATGCAGGATTTAGATGGCAACAGAAATGATTCTGATGTGTGGCGGCCTGTGAACTTGGTGGACAAGCCATCGTATCAGTCCCATCATGGCACAGATTAAGACATTTGCTCGACTGAAGCCCTCGAGGAAGCCGTACCCTGGCTATGAGATCAACAAAAATGTCCTCACTCTTCACATTCCAGACAGCAAGGACTTCCTTATGCTAGATCCTGTACAAGCAGTACACAGTAACCTCAGCTATGATATCCTCTTTACAAACATTTTCCAACCAGAGACAACTCAAGAGGAAGTTTTTGATGGAGTTGCCAACAATATCATCCAAAGTGAGTTTTCTGTCATATTTAGTGTTCTAGTGAGGTTGGTTTATTCTCTAAATTCTAAAGCACTTGGCTTGTTGTGGTATCAGATAACAAAAGTGTTTATTCAGTAAACCATCAGATTTATTGGGATCACAATTTGTGTGGTAGGTTAGTGGGTGTAACACCTGTAATCTTCGGCACTTATATGACCTTATTGTGTTGCAAGTGCCGTAAAACACTTACTAAAACTAAACTCACAATTTGTTTATGTACATACTCGTATTTTATATTAAAATCACATGTTTGTCATTAGCTCTTAATGAGTGGAGGCTCGTCAGATGAAAAGGTTCATTGACCTTTAAGTTAGGGACATTGTATTTATACTTCTTTTTTTTTCAGGAGAAGACCATTCTTCAAAGCTTATTTCTAACTTACTGCCACTTGTGTGGACTTGTGGCCGTGTTTTCTTAACTGTATGCTCTGAAAAAAGGCCAGGAATACAATAGATTACAATATTATGTTTGATAAGTCAGTACCTGATGTTTTGTTGCTCCCCCCCCCCCCACCAATCTCTTGCAGTGATATTTAAATATCATGATATCCAGATTTGATGCACTGACCATCTGGTACTATTTTCAGACGGAAATTTAATTCTTTCATATTTGTCGTTAGTTGTGTGAGGTGTGTCTTTGGTGTGGTTGTTGTACAGTCAAACCTGTGAAAAACGGCCTCCCATTGTCGAGGAGAAAAGCAGCTATATAACACAGGTGGCTGTCTTGGGCAGGACTGATCAAAATGAAGAAAACAAATCATTCTCTTCTGAGGTCCAAACCGGGGCTGATCTAAGGCTTAAGACTGTCGTAAGGAGAATTCAAAAAGGTTTTTGTTTTCATTTGGAAAAGGGGGGTGGGTGTTGTAAAAAGTGTTCTTTTGTTGTTGTTGGGTTTTTTTGGGATAGATTTCTTGTTGTCGCTGATTTTGTGTGAGGGTAAAATAAACAAAATATTATGTAAGTAAGAAGATGAAGACCAAGTGTCACGGTAAAACAAACGAATGGGTCACCTCCACTCGGAGAACGAGCATCGCTTCTGTTGCAAGTTCACCTCAACGACCATTTTTACTTTGTTACAGATTAGGTAAACAAAACAGTGACCAGTCACCTCACTCATGATTTGTGCATGAGTTATGGGCGGGGCTTATGAGGTTATGACGGATCACGCTTCCCTCACCAGCAGTTAAAAATGTATTGTTAAGCCTACCCATTGGTCAACCTGGGTAAACATTCATTGGAGGGACTAACAATAATGACAGGTGAATGAATTATGACGGCCCGTCCACAGTGTGAGGCCGATTCAAAATTTATGACAAAGTGTCGGGCAATGAGTGACCACGCCTGGATGCCTGAGGCAGGTAAATTTGACCGTAGGTTGCTAAAACAAGGCGGCCGCGGCTGCGTTGGACAGGTGACTGTTTTACACAGTTAAATGATATAGAAAAAATGCAAGAGGGGGAATGGAAAGTGGCTGTTTATACAGGTGGCCGTCATGGCAGATTCGGCTGTATTTATACTGTTGACAGATTACTTTTCCCCTGCATTTTCTTGTGCAAACAATTCTGTTTAGTATTGCTTTTCTTCGCCTTTTCATAAAAACATTAAAAGAAATATTACTTTTAAAACAATTTTGCACCTTCAGGTAGTTTTTTGAATGACGTATGATGTATGTAAGTGGTGTGCTTAATTCTCTTTTAATTTCCCTGACACCTTCCTGTTACTATATATGATGAAGTAATAAACCTTTGGTTTTAAAGAATATTTATATTTTTTTCTCTCCAGATTTCCTGAATGGGTACAATGGCACAATATTTGCTTACGGGCAAACGGGAACGGGAAAAACCTACACTGTGGAAGGAAATGCATGCAAATACAAAACCCGTGGACTGGCTACGAGGTGATATACTATAGTTTGTTTTTTAATGTTTGAACACTTCATAGAAATAAACGTTGAAAATTTAGACCATTTACAGTACACAAATCCCTACATAATAATAATAATAATAATAATAATAATAAATTACACTTTTATTTGTCCCAGAAGGGCACTTTGTTTTACAATGGCAAACATACATACATAAATACATAATTATAAATACGTAACATACATAAATACATACATAAATACATACATGCATACATAAATACACACTATTACACAAATACAGAACAGTTTACAAACAATGCCACTGTCAGACTATTCAAATAAGTAAGTCGTAAAGACCGTGGACAAGCTCTTTCATCTGATTAAACAGAAGGAAAATTAGTACAATTCTGTTGATTACATTCAACAGCTTTTCATATTTAATCTACTCATGATGCTCAATCCTTAAGTCTGAGCATTCCGCCGCAAGGACGTCACAGCACGTGGGCACATGGAGCGGAGTGAACACTCACCATTAACCTCGGCTGCTCACTGCTCAAATCGCGGGATTGTTTACTCAACTACATTAGCTCGCATGGAGAGAGACTCTAAACTGATTAGGTTTTTTATGACTGTAGGAAATTTAGAATTTTGCTCAGGTGGCGGCCGAAGCCTACTTTTATAGATTTTGGACCGCCAAGGGATCTTAACCTGCGCAACTTGCACGTGGGATCTCCGATATTTTTGGCCCTTATCTGAGAAGGCTAGGTGTAGATCTTTCGTATCATAAGATCAGGGGTGTAGCTGAAAGACAGCAGTAAGAAGGCGCCAAGGAGTTGCAGTAGAAAGGCTGCAGAAAGAGTCAGGAGCCCAGAGGTTGGGGCATAGGAGGTGAGGGCATGGGGGCAGAAAGTGGACACGAAAGTAGACGACAGAACATTGTTAGAGAGCAGGAAAGGATGTGAAAGGAGAATATTTTAGAGAAGAAAATTTCAAGTCACCGTCCGGATTCGAACCGGAACGTATTAAATGAGAGGCGAACTCCTTAACCTCTATAACACGAAAAGCCCATGATGTGTAGTCTAGCTTTGGAATTTTGAGTCATTTCACAATATAATTTAAATAATTGGATGTTCCCTTGTAAGTTTTGTGCTTGAATTCGCTCTGGGTCAACGATTTGTTTGCACAATGAGAGACAAGCAGTCATTCAAACACACTTTCGCCAATCTTCAAAAGGTTGTGCTTCAACTGTATTCCCATTTTACTAGAGAGGCAAAGAGGAACTCGGTATGCCTTAGGTTTGAACAGAAGCACTTTGCTAAGATGGATTAAAGCAGCACAAAATGGATGGAGAGACAGACTTTCCTAGCTTAAAGAGGGCGGCCTTTGAAGACTGGAAGTTTCATAGGGAAGTTGTCCGACGAGCAATTGTTCAGATGTTTGGAAGAAATCAATTTGTTACTCTCAGATTGTTGAAAAGATGGTTGTCCAATAATAATGATATAAATATATCAAAGACTTGCCTTTGGAAAACAGTGAGGTGTGTTGAGTTTACGTTCCGGAAATCAAATGGTGGGAAAAATTTTATTGTGCGAAATAAATCATATAGGTCAATGCTTAGACTACTAACCTCTTGCCACATTTTATACGCCCCTGAATGCACACACCCTTTCGTGTTTGGATTAAAGATACTGTAAGCTCTAAATGTGATGTACTAATGATAAAGAGTAATTAATTAACCAGTCACTAATTAGCTACCTAATTTGAATTTTCAAAATGTCATGGGTGCACATAACTATCACAAAAATTTTTGTTAAAATGGAGCAAGTTGTTGCTGAGATATTTAGCTTCATACGTGTTCGCGAATTATGGAACGGACTATAAGAATTCTAAGTTTGGTCTAAAGAAGAGCTGAGTAATACTTTGAAGTTTTCAGTTCTAGTTTAGTGAGTAGTATATGTTTGATTCGGAAAAATTGATAGGAAGGTGAACATTTTAGAATCAGACTTTTTGGCTTATTTGAGATTTATCTTTCTTGAGCCTTTGACCTTTATTTAGGTAGAATTGAAGGATTCTGTGAAAAGTTACAATACTTTAAAGGACATGAGGATCCAAAGGATACATTTGGAGAAAAAGCTTTTAGACATTTCCATGATGGCGCTTCACAAAAGAGGAACAAAAGATGTATGTGTAGTTTTTCTATCTTTTTCTTCTGTTACGTTACATTCTTTATGGGCACTGGGTTTCCAATGCTAAGGCAATAGAATTCCATTTCATTCGGTCAGTTACTGTAGTGTACTTGCTTGAAAATTAATGTCCATCCATGAGAAGAAACAGTTTAATCTTTTTGGGAAATTTTTCTGCTATATATATATATCCTCAAAGTTATTTGTTAATAAATATCAAGAATAGTATTGTTGCCAAATTCTTTTAAATTAGGATTTGGAAAGGGTTGTCTTCCCATATGTCATAGTCCTTAGTTTGTGATAGAATTCAAGTTCTTGGATTATTTTGAATGGTAGCTTAATATAACCCTCTGCACTTTCCAGTGGATTTTCTTAGCGCCACTTTATATCTTTGAAAAAGACTCAAGTTATAGTGACATAGTTTTGGTACATTCTGTTTGACTGATCGGCTTACAGTGGTATACAGAGGTAGTTCACTTTTAGTCAAGCCCAGAGCAACAAGTTGTATACTATTTATGCTTTTTTGTATGCAGTTATGCTTTTTTGGAGTACCATAAAGTTTCTATTGATCTCTGTGATTTCGTTAAAATTTCCAGAATGTTGTTTATTCTTGGGTCCTAGTTGACTAGGATCAAGATTAGAGACTAGATATTTCTTTGAACTGAAGCAATGTCGAATTCTAGAACTAACTTTGAAAAAATAACTTCCATGATAATGGGGACTTTGTGCTCTGAATGAAGAAGAATAATTAATTGAATGCTGTTCAAAATATTCACTTTGAAACCCAGAAAAAAATGCCAGATATTCTGGATATTAGCTTTGAACACAGAAAACAACGGTCAAAATAATATTTTTTTTTAAGTACAGGGGATATTGAATTTGAGATGTGAATAATGAACAGGAAGTATGCGCCTTAAAAAAAATTGGTTGTCCCTCTACCTTGGAAATTTTCTCTCTCCCACTCAGAGCTTTGAGCATGATCTACCAGCAGCTGGAGTCAAGGACGGATGAACACATCTCAGTGTATCTGTCTTACCTGGAGATATATCAGGAGTTTGCCTATGACCTCCTGAACCCTGCTTCAAGGACTGTTTTACCAGTGGCTCCATTTGCCAAGGTATTGGGAAGTCCTGATTTTTTTTGTGGATTCAGAACTAGAATTGGAATAACATCTGTAATTTTTGTTATGCTGATGGAAGAAATCGACTTGGTATGATTAGCAGTGTTTCTGATCTACTAACACAGCTGAATTACACCATTCTCGTAGAGTGAATTTGAGGAAAATTATGGACAAAAAGAACATTGCTGCTGTAGCTTATTAAATTATCCTCCAGTTTTGTTTCTTGCTGGTGGACGTACTGCATCAGTGTCACAGAATGTTGCAGGATTTCACTCAAAGTGTTGTGTGTAGCTGTGCTGTGTTGCTCAGTGTGTTGTGTATGGCTGTGCTGTGTTGCTCAATGTGTTGTGTATGGCTGTGCTGTGTTGTTCAATGTGTTGTGTATGGCTGTGCTGTGTTGCTCAATATGTTGTGTATGGCTGTGCTGTGTTGCTCAGTGTGTTGTGTATGGCTGTGCTGTGTCACCTAGTGTTGTATATAGCAGACAATTCGATAGGTGATGTTTAAATTGCTTTGTTTTTGTTTTAATTTACATTTTGTAAGTAGTGACTAATGTTGTTTTTGTCTTTTTACATGATATAATTATCATGAAGTCCGAGAAAATATGTGTGCATGCCTGAAGAAAGGGACAAGATGCATTGCTCCAACTGAGAAGCACTTCTTGAGCAAAACAAGACTGCAAAGCCATTCTTTGAAATTTCTAGCATTACCATTGACAACAATGTCTATGACTCATTCATAAAAATAAACACCTTCATACTGCACAGCAAATTTTAGGTCAGCTTGTGTCCTTTCTCATAGTGTGTCGTGCTCATGAATACATTGACACAGGAAAGAAAGGGAGACTCTGCACTTACCCGTACCTTTTCACCCTTTTTGAGTAAAGCAAAACCATTTTTGTGAAATTTCTAGTTCCATTTGACTGAATTTACTTTGAAAATGATTTTAATGACACTTTCAAACTGTTTAATTGCCAAATAAACCTCTTAAAGTTGTACATTGATTAGTAACTGTGTTGTCAAGGGTTTTGGAGGCAAACAGCATGGCTGGCTGATTAATCGATATTCATTTAGAGAAGCTGCTCTTGCAGGTGGGGGGCCCCATAGTTTTTCTATGGGGGAGCAAAGAATACACCTGTCGTGATACTGTGTTTCATAAGAGGCGACTAAAGGTGCATAGGTCTAGTGTCCTGAAAAGTGCCAGTTTACGGAGGGCCAACTACCTGACCCAGTAAAAATGGAAAGTTATAGAAACACAAACAAACACGCATTATTATTTTTCCATCTTGGGAGACGGAGGAGTTTCTGAATCAGCGGGAACAATGAAGGACAGCGGACAAAGCCGAAAGGACTCGTTTGACCTGAAACTTTCTCTGTCAAACAAGTCTCTTTGGATTGCGTAGTGCAATGTTCGCACCATGTATGAAGCAGGAAAGAGCTCTCAAGTGACACAAGAGATGAAGAGATACAGGCTGCACATACTAGGCGTCAGGGAAACCCACTGGATACAGTCTGGACAGAAGCAGCTCAGCTCAGGGGGAACAAGTATTGTATTCTTGGAGGGAAGACAAGCACCATGTGGAAGGAGTTGGAATTATTTTGAATAAGTATGCACAGAAGTCACTTAAAGTATGGGAACCTCATGGGGAGAGGATCATCATGGCTTCGTTCAGGACAAGGAGTAGGAGCATCAATGTGAACATAGTTCAGATCTATGCCCTAACAAACGATGCTTCGGATGAAGACAAGGATGCTTTTTACAGTCGGCTCCAGGGGGTCATCGACAAACTACCAAGGAAGGAAGGATGTTAACATCATAATGGGAGATGCCGATGCCAAGATTGGTCAGTACATCGTAGGTTATGAGGAAATCATGGGACAACATGGCTTGGGACAAATGAATGAGATCTGCGAAAGATTTGCAAATATCTGTGCTTTCAACAGCAATGGAGGGTCTGTTTTTCCCCTGAAGAGAATCCACAAGGCTACTTGGGTATCACCAGATGGAATGACGGAGAACCAGAAGGATCATTTTTGTTTCTCTCGTAGGTTCAGGCATTCACTGGAAGATGTCACAGTACAGAGAGGGGCAGACATTGGATTGGATCATCATCTGCTGTTAGCAAAGCTCAAGCTTCGTTATCATCTAAAAAAGCACGGAACCAGAACAGAAACCAAATGAACGAAGTTCCAAGTCAAGTCTCTTAGATGGACTCAAGAAAGAGAAGTTTCAAAAGCAGTTAAGAAACAGATTTCAACCCTTGGCGGATTTTGATGAGGAGGACATGGAGGTGAAGATGCACTGGGCCAAGGTCAAAGAAGTCTTTACTTCAACATGTCAAGAAATACTAGGTGAGAATAAATTGGAGCTTAGGGAATGGATAAGCCAACGGTCATTGGATTTGATTAGGTTTAGAAGACAATTAAAAGAAGAGACAAATGCAAGTGGGACAAGGGGAGCAAAAGCTGAGGCATTGGAGCAATACAGGACAAGAGCTAAAGATGTATAGAGATCACTAAGAAAAGGAGGAATTCGTGAACAGGCTGGCAGAGAGGGCAAAGGAGCAGCAGCTGGAGGGAACATGCGAATCCGTAATCCGCTACCAGACTACAAAGACTCTTTCTGGAAAATATGGGGAACCAGAAGTAACAATAAAAGACCAAGAGGGAAATACTATTTTTGGAAAGGAATGTAAGTCAAGATGGTTGGTAGAGCATTTCAACAGTCTCCTGAACAGACCGCCACCAAGTTACCCGCCATACATCTTTCCAGGAAGAAATGAGTTACCAATCTGCTGTGATGGTCCTTCAGAGCAAGAGATAATGGATGACATTAAGAAGCTGAACAACAGTTAAAATGGCCAGTCCTGATCAAATTCCACCTGAGGCCCTAAAAACAGAGGCCAATGTGACTGCAGACATCCTTCTCCCACCGTTTACCAGAAATAGGATTTGGAAGACCAGGAATATCTCACAACAAACAAAGCTGAGGATTTTCAACTCAAATGTGAATGAAGTCAGTCTTGTATGGATGTGAGACATCAAACGTGTCTCAGACTTGCATAAAGAGGATCCATGTTTTCTTGAACAAGTGTCTAAAGAAGTTACTGAGGATCAACAAGGAAGTATTAAGAAGAACGAGACAGAGCCCAGTCAGAGATGAGGTGGGAAGAAGGCGTTGGCGATGGATTGGACACATTTTCAGGAAGTCAAGCAGCTGCATAACAAGGAAAGTGTTAGATTGGAACCCACAGGGTAAAAGATCAAGGGGAAGACCACGTGGAACCCGAAGAAGAGTCACGGAAATGGATGTAAAAAAAAGTGGAAAGATGTGGAGTGACATCAAGTGACTAGCCCAGGATAAGGAAAGGTAGAAAGTGTTTGTTCGTGGACTATATCCTGATCCATGGAGAGAAAGGCAATTATGATGATTTAGGGAAACACTCAATCAAAGTCTAGGGGAAACTTAAAAGTAATTTTTCTCAAAACTTTGTTTCCTCACCCTGCCTAACAATATTAAGTAGATCTCACAAAGTATTGAAGCTGTTTTAAGATTTGAAAAGCAAGTTGTTCAGAAACGATTTTTGTATCAGACAGTGTAACAAAATGCAGTTCCTCAAAAGGTGTCATGCATTATACCCTTCACCAGGAGCACACACACATATTTTGAATGTTGATGAGTGCATGCAAAGATTTTTACACAACTAATATTTCTATATTGATTTACTTATTTAAAAAAAGATTCCATTAGCTCCCTGCAAATATAATTGATCTCTCCAGAGGTGTTAGACATCTTATGTTTCTAATTCCATATGTATAACGTCTACTTTCTGTTCTCTTGTAAAGGTTACGGTGGTGGAAGGTCCGCAGGGCTCCTGCATTTTGCGAGGGTTGTCCCTGCATCTGGCAGCCAATGAGGAGATTGCCCAGATGTTGTTGCTTCAGGGCCAAGCCAATCGCAAAGTTGCAGAGACTCCAGTCAACATGCGGTCATCTCGCTCACATGCCGTCTTCACTGTGTACCTGCAGGCAAGGAAACACGACTCGGATGTCATGGTCAGGTGGGTTTCTCTTCAGTTTCTATTGAGGTTAAGTGCCTTGTTTTTCACAAAGTGAGTGGTTGGCAGGAGCTCTGGCATGGTTAGCTCCTTTCTTATCAAACAAGTATCGTTCTTGTCTCTCCACCTTTTTTGTGTTTGTTGCTCTCTTGTAACACCTCTAATATTCAGCACCTATATGACCTAATTGTGCTGTAAGTGCCATAAAACACTTAGAACAAACTTTTCACAAAATGTCTTTTAGGAGGCATTGCTCATAGAAAATGGCACTGAAAGGGAATTTTTATTTTGGGGAAGGGAAAGAAGAGTTCAGGACTCCAGTTGGATTCAAACTTTGCACATTCAGCTGTATAGTCAGGTTTATATTTAGACCATGAAAATGTAGTAGTTCTGATATGAATAATATGTTTTACACTTCTGTAACTAGAATTGTAAAGTTAATGGCTTCTGCTTTCGTGGGTAGAAATATTGTTATAGTTTGTTCACTTGCGACTATCAGCAGAAATTTTTTTTAGCTCTTGGCATTTCTGCTGGCCAGTGACCAAACAAACATGTTTTCTCAAAGAATCTTGATCCAGTAATAAAAAAGTTTTTCTCTTTGGGCCCTATGTTAAAAACTGCTCTTTGGATGCATACACAGCATCATTATAATAAATGATTTACAGTAACCTAGCCTACAAATTGCTCATTTTGAGACAGGGACTCCCCCCTGCCCCCATATTTCAGTGTAAGCTTGTCGATTTCACCCCACGGCTGTTTAGATATCTTCACGTGCTCCAGGACAGTTTTGAAAATTACTCACCCCGTCTTTTGAATTGTGTTTCTCAGGCGAACGTTAAAGTGTGGTGTTGAGGAAAATATGTCAACTGTTCAATGTTTTAGGTGTATGCTGTAACTCACTATTTACTATTATTTTTTTTTGTACCCGCTTTAGCCTAACATCAAAGAAAACAGGTTGGAATGTCAGCTTGAGGTGACTTTTATAAATGGGCTTTTATGTTCTGTTGATCATCTAACTTTTAGACCCGTATGCAAAGATAGGAGAAGATTGAACCGAGTGATTTCTTTTTACCTTGTTTTAACCACAGCCAGATGAACGTGAACAGGTTATAATTTTGTTGTCTCATTGGATAAGTAAATAACTCTACTGGACCCATGAAAAAAGTCTGTTCAATGAATTTCGCTCTTTGCAGTATGTCATGAATCACAGTACGAATCCGTCTGAAGTTATTACTTTTGTGTTTTTTTCTGTCTGTATAGTTTACTTTTTCCTAACATTAAGTTTCAGTTATTTTATTGTACTCTTTTAACCGCTTCACTGCTGCTCGGCATAGGATGTACGTCCATAAATCGGGCCCTCCTATGTGCGTAGGCTCCCTCTGAAAGATCTTTTCTTCCCGAGTTAGAGAAGCTTTAGTTTGCCCTAGTTAGACCAACAATGATCGAAATAGCGTCCCTGACAGTCACTCTCTCTTCACAGTTCCAGCGTCTCAGTCTAGCTTCGAGCTTTGGCTGATCACTCGCGATGTATGCTATGAACGTATCTAGCTATCTAAAAAAATTTTGCTGATGATGATAGCGGTTCATTCATTTCCCTTTAAAATGATATTGACATTGTTATGCATTTGATGCCTTACCACAGAGTAAATAGCACTTTAAAAGGGTCACCCGTTTGAGTGCTATTCCTGGAAACAAGGTCAACATAGGGCGAGGAATATAGGTCAGCAGTGGAGGGGCTAACTCACCTCAAACCTAACCCAAATGCAGAATATTGCCTACATGTGATGACGTCAGTTTCCTTTTGTTAACTTGTAGTCTGAAATAGGCAAATCTTCATTATTTTATTAGTGTGTATAACATGGTGGAAGGACAATGATGATTGGTTTAGTTCCGATACAATAAGCCTGTAGCATTGTTAACTCTCCTACTCTGATCCTACTTTAGTTTCTTGATGACCTTCACCATCCTAGCTCTTGATGAGGCAGCGTCTGTGGGATGGGCAGTATTGGTTTTTTTTCCTTTATGTACACCGCAAAGCCTGCAGGAATCCCCCTCTGGTTTATCTTGTTTAGTTGTCAGTTTTGCCAGGAAGTCCTACGTTGTGAGCTCATCATGCATGTGGAGGGGGGAACGGGTGCCACAATGGCAATGCGATGTTTGTTGAACAGTCAAGCCCCAAAACTTGTTTTCAAGATCACTTCTAGATACAAATCTGTAATAAACCTGCCTTTTATACCCTTCTTGTAGTTTGCTCCTGCAATATGTTTACATTCACAAAGGAGTTGTAAAAAAGGCACAACAGATACTTTTAGCCCTCTCCGTACGTTGTGTTTTACTCTCGTATCCTTACGAAGTGGGGAACTCTGTGCTCCCACTTTCCAAAGAGAAATACTGAAAGTTTCAAAGATATCTTCACTCTAGAAGTATTCTAAAATGTGAAGAGTACAACCCCAGGGGTACAAAAAGACCCCAGGTAATTGATGAATAGGAAAACTTCTTTGCACAATGTAATATTTATTTTTTGCAAAATGTTTTAAAACCAATTTTGTAGTTAAATTTAATTTGGCTTTTAGCTCCCAATTTTACATAGTCTTTTACTGGTGTCTTTGGAGTAAGGGTTAGGCTGTTCTACTTACTTTACATGTACTTTACTTTTTCATCCTCTTCTACAGTTAAGCGTCAAGGGGAGATGCAGTTTTCTATGGTAGGCCAGCTCCGCAGCTCTTTCAGTTGTGATATTATGTTTTCTTAGGGTTTCTTTGACACCCTCGATCCACCTTTTGGGTGGCCTTCCTCTTCCTTTATTGCCTGAGTGCTTGGTGTTGTAGGCTCTCGAGGCTGGCTGGCCAGATGACATAAGTAACAGGTGGCCAAACCATTTTATTCTCTGTCTTTCTATGTAATGCAGGCTGGATTCAGTGCTGATAGCTGCTCCTCTTACTTCTTCATTTCTCTGCCAGTCTCGTCTTGTGATGTTATGGGTTTTGCGGAGACATTTAATTTCGCATGCTGTGATTTTTCTTTCATGAGTTTTACTTAAGGCCCAGGTCTGGCACTGGTAGCATAATGTTGGTATGAATATTGAGGTGATAAGCTGTCTCTTTGCGTCCATAGAGATGTTTGGATGAGATACGAGGGGTGCGAGCTTGTAGGTGACAGCGTTGGCTTTTTGAGTTCGCTAACCTTGAGTTGGGCTCTTCACCCTTTTAAAAATTATGTAGATCGGGGGGTTATTAATATCATTTGCAGTCTTTTCATTACAATGCTGTCCTTTCTTTATGTGAGGTATTTGGAGGTTGTGATTTGAAAAAAATTCTAGTTGAGTGATTGTCAAGCTATTTATCCAGTGCCCACTTTTGCCTCTTTTATGAGACTTAAATTCTCGTTCCGCCCACCTACATGTATTTACCAGCGAGGCATAAATAATACTTGCCACTACCCATAGTGGTCCCCATCCGGGTGGTACCTCCCAGATCGATAAGCACTGATTTAGTTTCATGGCAAGCTCTTCCATATACAGGGGAGGTAATCATGGTGGTGTGCTCTTGTTTTATTTTTCATTCCAACACCCCTTGATGTATCAGGGGAAGCACTCATTATTGTTAACTTAAGTAATTCCTGAAGATACATGAATATCATTAGTTGCTTCCTCTTATCTTATTTTTTAAAAATTCGACTCAAAATTGCCCCCCCCCCTCCCCCCTCTCT